TATCTCTCTTCCCTCTCTGCTCTCTACTTTCATCTCCCCCATCCGCCTCCCATGCTCAAGGTAGCAAACCAGCTGCCTATAGGCTGGTTAACCTCCCTGCCGTTCTTTCCCTCCTATTTTCCTTCAAATGGGCAATTTTATTGCGTGAGCGTTCAGAAAAACCTGAGATCGGCCGTGCTCACGCAACAAATGCAAAGAATAAATGTCAGAGTCTTCACAGGAGTAGAACTCAAGCATTCTGCGTGGGAATAAAAGAATCCACCTCAAAGTGATGTCAGGTCTGAGAAATACTTTTTAAAATAGACGCTAATGTTCGTGAAACGCCAATTGTGGTTTTTGTGTTATCTAATTCTTATAAACGTGACATATGTGCTCCTATGATAAAGCCGTCACGTCGGGCTAACGTCAACAGTAGTTAGGTACCATACGCTGGAGTTGATTTATGTAGCAACATCCAAGGCTACGCAAGCTCCAGCACTTCATATCAGCTCATCGCTTATAGTGTTGTTCATACTCATGTTCCTGTTGGCATTATTGCGCAAGTGCTAACAACTGGTTATATAAATGTAGTGCCATCATCACCATCATCATTTCTGGATCACCGCGCCGCGCCTCTCGCGCAGCTGATGCTAGCTCGAGCTGCGCGAGGATTAGAACGAGCTCACGCACCTGGCGCGTCGGACGTGGACAGCGACCGCGGCTCCGCTTCAGGCGTGGAATAAAGTGACGAGATCAGCACGGCCCCGTCTGCCGCCTTCGACGCCGTCTCACGTCTCTCTTCTCTCGCCACAACATTGGTGACTCGGAGAACACGCCCTTCGCCGAGCGGCCCGCGGCCATGTTCCCGCAACTCTGCCCGCCAGTGCCGCCGTTCCAATCGACCTACCCCAAGGTATGGTTCATGCAGCTCGATGCCGTTCTGGCGTTTAATGGCGTCACGGACCAGCCGCTGATGCACGCCATTCTTTAAGACGCCCTTCCGGTAGAGTTGCGTCATCTCTCTGGCACTTCAACCTCCAGCCAGCAGCCTTACGATGACGTCTGCTCTGCGGTGCTTGCCAGTTATGGCCTCACCTACCACCCGCTGCCGTTCACCCGCGACTTACAGGTTCCGTCTGCGTCGCAGCGTGCGGTACGCTCCGGCCCGAAAGTCTTCACTGACCGGGACCTAACTTCCCCGACTACGTCTCCTACAACATCTCGTCCGGCCACTAGCGCAGTGAGTCTCGCACCCGGTGTCGCACCCGGTCACAGATCCGACGAGGTTCTTGAAGTCGTTCCTGCTGCCGACAACCTATATACCACAAAGTGCGTTTTTTCGAAGTCCTCGGCCGATGGTCCTTCTGGCACGCTTGCTACATGCACGTTTTCTACGAAAGCGACGGCACGCGACACCGTGGCTCTCGCCGTTTCCGCGACCACCAGCTCAGACGTCTCGGCCTCCTCCTCGCCGCAGCTGCTGGTCAGCTCCTCGACGGTGCCCCCTGCCACTCCGCCACCTGCCACTGGTGCCAGCAATGGCCTGCCGGGTGCCTCGCCACATTCCACTCGCACCTATCCTGCCAGCAGCCGACCACACTCGGCGTCCCCGCTCCCCGCCCCTGTCCCTGTCTCTGTTTCGTGGTCTACGACGGGCCCCAGCGCCGTGCCTTCGCTGAGCCAGAGCCTGCTCTCATCGTCGGCGTCGACACCGGCAACCACCAAAGCAACTGCCACCGTCGCCCCTCTGCCCGTGGCGCCGCAGCAGGCACCTGCGTCGAGACCCGGCGTCGCACAGGTGGTTTCGGCCAGCCCCAGTCCTCGCACCTCCGGTGCCCCCCGGCTCATCCAGCCGAAACAGCCACAGATCCTGCCCAAGCTGTCGAGCGGCAGCGCGAACATGACCACGCCTTCGGCAGCGGCGACCACCCGGTCCCAGTTTCCCCGGGCGGCCCAGCACAAGGCCACACCGCGGCCCGCGCCTGTACCGGTGCCGCAGCCTGCGACCACGGTGCAGCGCGGCGCCGCGATGGGGCTGAACACGGGGAGTCCGCTGCTCATCGGGAACCCCGCGGCAGCGCAGCCGGGCATGTTTCCGGCTGGACCTGCGCAGGGCACTTTCCTGCTGAACCAGTACATTCCGGGCCTGGGCCACAGCCCGATTCTGATACAAGGCGCATTGGGGCAGACCCAGAGCTCTCTGGGACAGATACAGGGAGTCCAGCTGGCCCTGCGGCCACCCCATGTCACGGGCCTGACCCTGGGACATAAGACGGGGCCCAGGCCCCATGGGGGACATCAAGGACCGCCTGGCACCCCGACGCTTCTCATCCCACAGAACCTGGGGCCAAGGCCCAACATCTTTCTGGCACCGCCACGCATGATGTCGCCCCCCTCGTTTGCCATAGTCCCGGTACAGCCACTGACGCTGCAACAGCTGCAGGCCATGCTGCCCACGCAGACCATGCTGGCCCAGCTCACACTGGGTGCGTTCCAGACAGACCAGCACCAATCTCTGGTGCAGATACCGACGTTCACCCAGCTGCAGATGCTGTCGCATGACCACCATCACCACCACCACCACCATCATGGGGCCCTGTCGGGACCTCTAATCTCGACAGGCGGCAGCGTAGTGTCCTCTGCACCCAGCGCCAACATTGTCACCCACCATCCTGTCATGACCTCGCGACACACGGTCCACTCTCGGCCTGTCCGACCAGGTCACCATGAGACCCGCTTGTCGGCTACCACAGTGACCCGGCACTTCCTCCTTCGTTCCTTGCGCTTCTCCCAGTGTCGCCCGCCAGAGACCCGCTGCTTACCGATGGCCAATCAACGTTGACAACCTGGACTTTCCAAATGAACACTTTATGGATTGTCGTTCATGTATATAGCATTTGTCGCTCTCTTTCTTTTTTCATATGCCTTCAAATCGCGCAAAGCGCTAGGGGGGGAGCCCTGTAGTGCCATCATCACCATCATCATTTCTAGATCACCGCGCCGCGCCTCTCGCGCAGCTGATGCTAGCTCAAGCTGCGCGAGGATTAGAACGAGCTCACGCACTTGGCGCGTCGGACGTGGACAGCCACCGCGGTTCCGCTTCAGGCGTGGAATAAAGTGGCGAGATCAGCACGGCCCCGTCTGCCGCCTTCGACGCCGTCTCACGTCTCTCTTCTCTCGCCGCTACATAAACATTTGCAGCTCTGCAACATATGTCGATGCGTGGGTCACCTTTAGCGTCATTTCATGACGTGTCGCTACATAAAATTTGCAACAAGTTCAGCTTTCCTCCACATGCTTCGGATAACGTCAACTGCCAAGGTATGTCGGATCCGCCGAATTTTTCTTCGTTTATTTTCGATATTCCGATGTCGTCTTTGGTATTCTCGACGGGTCTTCAAAGGAAATAAAGTAAACGCATTAATCCCAGTTTAATTATGGAAGGTCATTCTTAGCAATCCTGAGTTAGGATTAAAAAAAAAGTGACACGAGCACATTCAAGGGAAAGATGACGCTGAAATAACAAGGACACCGTCCTCGGCGCAGCCACTCAGATGCAGATCGTTTATTTATCTGCTCAAGGAGAAACTCTCATTAAGCACTAAGCTATCAAAAACACGGATGAGCCTGCTTTTGCATTATGACAGCATGCTTTCAAAGCGAAAGAAAAAAAACACACAGCGTACCCGAACCTTAATTATAAACGGAGCAATGAAAGGCGTGAGGCGCTGCGACAGTCTGAAGCAAAACAAAAGGCAATGCTTCAAGTTATGCAAATTTATATCCTTTCAGCAAAGGCAACATTGTGATTCAGGCATTATTTAAAGCAGAGCGAAGTAAGTTATGCCTTACAGATATTTCTTTTTTTTTCCTTGTTCATCGATGGCTATGATTCTTTATGACTATGCTCGTTCTGATTAACTTAAAAAGTAACGTCGCAGAGTAACGTTTTGATAGAATGAAGAGCAATGCCTTCGAAAAACCGTTTCCTAATTTCATAGGTATGTCGAAATTTCTAGCTACAATGTAGTGAATACAACATGCAATAAACCACTAGTAGGGTGTGTTTAACCTCCAGATGCGAATATCGCAATTTTGGTAGCTGTTACTTTTTCGTTTATTAGGATGAGAAGTAAATCCATTCTTGTCAGATGCCATAACAGTTGGTGAAGGACATTAAGCCCAACAGCACAAAATTTCAGGTTTTTGGCGCAGGATTCACCGCACGCTCAAGTTGAAGAATAAATGAAGGAACCTTTACAAAAGGCTTGCTAACTTAATAGCAAAAATTTCGATTTTATTTTCCGGATGATATATATATACGAACACCGTGTTTTCTTCCGCGCAGCCTAATATGAAATTGCAGCAATTGTATTTGGACTTTTCCATCAACACTAAGCCTCACCCATCTACTATTTGATACTGATATTTCGCAAGTTTTCGTTCCAGATCTTATCGTCTCACAGGAATATTCCCTGGTGCAAAGATAACATGGGAAGTAATAGAATAGAGCAGTTGCACGTGTCAACAAATCTCAGTTGTGCAAGGCAGTTTTGCGCTATAAAAAAATCCTTGCTCAGAAACAGAGAGAGAGAGGGAAGGCTATTGAAGCGTTTCAGATTAAAACTTGTTCTGCTAAGTGTGTGAGCGTGCCATCTGCGGTTTCGAATGACAAAGGGCTGGCTAGCTCCGGTTTCTCGACAATGATTTAAGAATGTATAGTAATAGGGTGTTTTCATTGTGATTGCCTTTTTCGCCGCGTATGCTCACATCGGCTTGCTGTTCGTGTTTTAATGAAATAAAGTCAGTTTATCATCCAACGTCCTTCCTGTTCCTGTCTCTTTTCTTGTCTTTGTTTCGTCTGCCTTATTTAAGGGCTGCTGCAGTCCTTTAGCTGGTTTTCGTGTCGCAGTAGGTGATGCATGGCAGTAATCATAAATGCGCCTGTTCTAACTTTTTTTTCTGTCAGGTGGTCACTTACAGAATACAGCGTAGTACAGTGTACAGCGGTGAGCACTGACCGTTCTGTCGCCAAGGTGGCGCACTTTGCAAGGCAGGAAGACTGCTTTGCCAGCACTCGTGGTGACGTTCCTCGATGTGCTGTTGTCGAAGTAGGGCGATGGCTCGGACGGGTCCGGAGCCCTGACGGACCTTCCGGCCGCCGAGCGCAGCCGGTGTGAGTAATGCTTGGACCGGCTGTGCATCTCGGCCAGCCCTGAAAAGACATCAAAAACAACAAGGTAAGAGACACGTCAAAAACGTATACAAAGAAGGAATGCACTCTAAACTTGTATATGATTAAGCAGTACCATTTTCTCATGTGTGGTGAGGTAGAGGCTCGGTGACATAAAGAAAAACAAATATTTCTTTCATGAGAAGTGGGTTAATTCAATCTTAAGCGTAGATTTTTTTTACTGAGATAAGCTTTACGGTTTATTGCCATATTTTCAGCTACATTTTGGCATTTTTATCTGCATTTCGATAGCACGTATTCGATGCAGCCAGCGCCAAAGAAAAACGTCCACGCTTTCCAAGCGTAGAATAGCAAACAAAAAGAACAAGAAAAAATATGTTTTAAAAGGCCAGTCATATACAGCGCCAGCAACGCGTTACACAGTGACATTAAAGGGTTATGGTCTATTTTGATTTGCCGTATCTATCGCTTTACACATCTGTTTACCGGTTAGGTTGCCAAGCATGGTGAAATGTGCGCAGAAACATGAAGGAATCTGGAAGAGGAACAGGGGGACACGATATAATACGTGAACTAAAAAGTACATAAACTGTTTTCTGTCTTTCATAGTGTTGTCCTATGTAGTTTTACCCCCAAAAGCCCTTTCTAGTCATCCATCAACTACAAGTGCGCTATCAGAGGAGTAACCTTAGCCGAGATTTTGAGCCTTCACCTGCCCTTCCGCTGTTTGCGATGCTCGAGCATCAAGCTGTCATACTTCTTCACTACTAAGTGCATACTCTTCCTTTCATGCCCACATCATAAGGCGCTCGATGCACGAATAGAATCTTATCACACTTAAACATTATACGTGACATCTCAGTGAAGGCGACAGCCCGAACATGTCTGCATTATCTCTGAAACGACCGAGCTGTAAGATGTTAAAAGTGCGGCTTTTTTACCTGTGCAGAGAAAAAACACGACGAAAATAAGCCCGGTGATTTCGCGGCCCCAGTTGTCACTAGAAGTACCGACATTCTTATGGGGAATGATATTTAAAAAATATAGTGCCCTCTAGATGCAACTACAGATGACGTGGTGATCAAGAGTAAAAATAATGTTTACAGTGTATGTGCCCCAAAATAACTATAAAATATAAAAGTGAAGTTTTCAAGAACGTGGAAATCGTTGAAACAGTTTTGCTTACACAACAACGCATTGTATTATCCTGAGGTATTGAGCGCCATTACTTTCGATGCAGATTACTGAGAAGCGTTCCGAATCCCCCTGGTGACTCGGCTTAGAACTAAGCGCATTAGAACCACACTTCAACCACTCGCCCTCTTGCCAATATTCCGTTGCTTTGAACAGGCTTGAAAATGGGAAATTTTAGCATACTGTAAGTAAACTAACGTTATCAAAGTATCATTGAACGCTTCACCGAGTCGATTACTGATAAGTGGTACTGCTTTGTACCTGCAAATTTTCCTAAGCATTGTCATCACAGAGCGTTGTGAGGACTTAATGTCAAGGAATGAAGGTAGTGGAGGGTGCGCGTAATTTCACCCCCAGTGCAGTAGTTATCACCTGATGGCGCATGCGCGCCAGGCGGCTAAGCCATTTCGTTACAACAACAACAAAAAAGTCCGTTTTTACAGGTGGCGTCTCTAATGATCATATAGTAGTTTTGCGACGTTAAACCCTACATATCAATCAAGCAGTTTTTACAGGTCACGGGAAGAATTATATGTCATTCAAAAGGTACTTGAGCACGCATTCTAGCATACCAAATTGTCCATACTGAATGCTATTTGCAAAAAAATATGAGTTTAAAACGAGAAGAATGTTATGGAATATGCAAAAATTTTAAAGTATGTTATTGTTTGTTGCCACCTGATAAACACGGAAACAGAAAACACTACATATACAAAAACATTCGAGAAACAAAAAAAACTAAAAACATGTGTATTGAAAAAAAGAAATGACTGAGGAATAGTATCAGAAAGATCATTGCTGTACGCAACGCTGCTATTAGCATACCAAAACATATCAAACAAGCTACAGCTTCATTGCTCGAGCCACGTGGTGAACTTCGCATTTCTGAAACACTCATGCACTTCTCGCAGAAAATTTTCGCTTTTCTATGAGAAAGGCTTGCTGGCGTTTCAATATAATTTGATTCGCTGTGTGAGAATAATGCCTACGTACGTCAGGACTCCTTTGAAATTCAGCCGTTCGTCTTACGTCACCTCTTTCTAACAGTCACCTCTCTCAGCACAGACTGACTTTCCGAAATGTGCGTCGAAGCATATGTGGGTTGTCGGGTCAACGGAAGGACGAATTCCAACAAGAAAACATAACGACTTTTCATTCGCCTATCAGCAGCAGCGGGTGAGCATACGAACGCTATACGCTCGTCCGTGTAGCGGAGGAGATCTTGCAATCCTAGCCGTCCGTTTAAGCAGCCACCGCCAATGACGTGTATACTTTCAGTGACACAGTGGTGGCACTGTACTTGATCGCCATGCAATGCAGCACGTAGCCGTGTCATGCCAAACTTTAAAATAGCGGGGCGGAGGCTGCGTGGGAATGTGCGCAGAGTGTACCGTCACATACTTGTATTTTTGAAGATTGCATTGATCACCGCCATCGGGACAAAAAAGAGCCCAATCACGTGCGGTCGTAAAACGCCTAGCGCCACTCCACAGTGCGGGGCCGCGATGTGTTCCGGGTGGCTTTCTTAGCGTGAAGAGAAGCTTCGCAGCTTGTGTGGACCTCGCACGCAACCGAGTAGCTATAACGTTGTTCGCAAAGGTCAGCAGCTACGAACCTGCAGCGGAGCACGACTCCTGAGGCCGTAAAAGAAACCCACTCTTGAATAGCTGTGGAGGTGCCAGTCTTGGCCCAAAGCATCGTCGCCATCAGAGGTTGGAGGTGAGACGCTGTCATGTTCAGACTCAAAGCTCATTTCATCGTCTCTCAATTCAAGTACTGTTGCAAGATTGCTTCGAACGGGCCGTGTTTCCGTGTTTCTCGTCATGCAGGTACGCACCCATACGCGCACCGTGGAAGTGATGAAAAAGTTAGTCGTAGTTAGCATAATTAGTTTCGTCAATAAGCTAGAGGTGGCACTGTGCATGAGCGGTGACGTGACTTGGCGGGAAGCGAGATCATGTCAGAGCTTGAGGAAAAGCGCTTTCTCATTTTGCGAACTGATATGGTCGGCGACGGAAGGCTCTTGGGAGTTCCGGGCGGATGATTCCACGGTTCGGGTTCACGGACTCTTGTAGAGAGTCAGACGACGGCGACACCACACCAACTGCACATTGTGTGCGTTATGTTGTTTTGTGCGAGTTACGTTCGTTAACCAGTTATAACTTGTCATCCAGTTATATAAATAACTTGTTAACCAGTTACAAGTTATTTAGAGGAGTACGATGGCGAGCTTGCCGTCTTTAAAATCTGTAATTAATGTTCACCTGTTCCTTTACCTGACGGCGTCTATTATCATGAGCGGTTTTTGGAGGCCCCTACAATAAGACAAATAAAAGAATTACAGTGAAGGGCAACTTGTCTGACAGTACTGGTACACGAACATTCGAAAGTCGTGGGAGTCAAGGAAGACTTTTCTAGACAGCTCAATCAAAGCCAACAGCGAAGTAAACACGATGCTGCTTTTCTTTGTGTTTGGCGCCCATCACAGGAGGCAGTATTTTGCTCTCTTTCCAGACAACTGGAAGCAAAATAAGACCCGCGGGGCTTACGTATTTTGCGCGCTGTCTTCTGCACAGCGTCGTGACAAAAAGTATCAAACACCCCGAAAAAGAGAAATCTAGGAGCTTCACAGGACGCCTTCTGATGTTCAAGACACGGCGCACACGCTATACACACTAAATCGAGAAGGCAGATGAAATGAACGAAAAAAATAAAACAAGCTTGTATAAATGACGCACAACTGCCAATGTGAGACGCCGGCTCCTATTAGTTTTCATTGAGGGCAAAGTCAGGCCCCACGACTTCTGTTTTCCGATATCTGCTTCCTAAAGATTTTACGTACAGAGGCTCGAGGTCCTTCATTTTACAACATTTGGCTTCCCCTTTCAGTACGTGACATACTTGCAGCCCTCTCCTGTTTTTTGTCCACGCAGCGGAGGAAGCGGGAAGAGGAAGCATAGACGACCAGTGTCGAAGCCATTAAAGAAAAACATGCCCTGGCGGCTTTCTTTTGACACGCACGCCTTGGCCAGAACTGCGCGGTTGTCACTTTCTTGCAATTTATTGCACTCCTAGCCCTGCACGAAGCTCAGCGCTTTATTTTGCTTTGCCGCTAATCGCTGTTTCCTCCTCTTGCAAGGCCGTCCTTTTTCGCAAGAGGTCACGCTGCTGTAAAGACAAGACCGATGCACAAACAAACAAGCGAAAAATGTCTTCAAGATTGTGGTTGACATTATCTATAGCATATAAACAGAGAGAGAAGAGCATTGCTTCAGAAGAGTTTAAGAAATAGAGAGAGATTGAGGCAATACGAAATGAGAGAGCGAAAAACAGCAACAACACTGGCTTTGAGCAGCCCGCCGCGACAAACAGCGCGAAAGAGAATAAACGACCGAATACGCACGAGCCAAGTGAGCGGGAAAGCGACTTGCCCGAGATCCAAGCAAACATTTTCTCTGTGATGCCACGCTCCATGGGGCGAGGAAATGGCCGCCTTCTCAATTAAACAATGATCCCCAAAGAAAGAGTCATCCGTTATTGTTAAAATGGAGGGGAGGAGAGGGGGTGCCGTCTTCCTTTTAGAGCGAAAAGCTCGCGCCTCCACGAGCGCGCGCGCGCGTAAACGATTTCCAGAGGACCGATAACACTCTTCGCCCGGCCCCTCCAGTGGCGGCAACAAAACGCGATAACGCGAAAGTGTCAAAATCACGGAATGTAAAAATAAAGCGCAGTCAAGTAGGGAAAGAAAAAAAGAAGTCTGAAGGAAAACGCGCGAGGGAATCTCGAACACGATGAAGAAAGAAGTGAAAATGTCAGAAAAGCGAGAA